TCGAGAGGAGCCGCGTAACGCGCTGCAGTTCGTTTCGCATCTGCTTGTTCTCCAATCGCGACCGTTCAGTCGTCGCTCGCATCTCCGCTTCCATCTTGGCGATTTGCGCGAAGAGCTGCTGCGTAACGTCGTTGGTCGCCGGCGAACCCTGTCAGAATATTATCTTATTGTTCTAGCCTGTAGTGGGGTGCTCTATAGCGAGTACAACCCTTCTAGGGTTTGCTATTTGTATCCTCATTCTTGCTAGTTCAATCCTCTTTCTTCCTTCAAACTTTGACAAACCCATCCTGTTCAAAAACCACGCGAGGGAGTTAATTCGAAAAGCGCGGAACTGGTACTTACCAGAAATCGGCGTCGAATTGGTCGCCCCCGGCGGTTTTTCGAGGCGATTTTTTCCGCGACCGCTGCTTAGCCGAGAGTTGTCGAGTGAGAACGGCTCTGATTACCAAGTGTCACAGGATCGAATTCTCAATCGAAACTTGTCACTAAAACTGAATACAAGGCCTATTTATACTCGGAAAGTACAAGGATAAACGAGATAAAACGATCTCAAAAGAGTAGATTAATCTTGGGCGCCATGGCTAGGTTTTGAGGAAAACGAGAGTAGCGAGGGAGAAGTTGTACCAACAAAAAAGGAGTGATTCAATATTGAGCGAGGGTACAAATAGGAAAGAACAAACAAGAAAGGTGCACCACCAACTAAGAGAATGCTATAACTACAGTAACCAATCCTACAGGCAGTTACATATAGAAAATATTAACTTATATTTTCCGACACGCCCCCATAACTGGCTGTAGGAGAGTATGCAGTTAGCGCACCCTTAAGGGGTACATCACGATTACACAGCGGAAATTGCAGCAACAAACAAGTGCAGTGACAACCATTGCAGTGGTGGCAGATCCAGCTGTAGCACACCCTGGGCCAAGGTAGAAACAGTAGCAGGTGTAGGGGCGGCAGGTCGCCTGAGGAGCAGGCTCTGTGGCTGGAACGTGCAGCAGGACAGCAGCGGCTCGACGGGAGCACCTGCAGGCCCCTAGCAGCAAGCAGCAGAAGCAAAGGCAAAAGAGGCAGGTGGCAGCAGGGGCGGCAGCTGGAGGTGCCACGGTAGCAGTGGGCGTCAGCAGCAGATGCCCGGCTGACTTCCGCCACCCCCTCTCACCCTCCCCCCCACAGCTGCAAGCGCGGCAGTGAGAGAGAGGGGAGGGGGGACGGCTGTTGGTGCTGCAAAATCTCTCTCGCCACCCCCTCACACTCCCCCCCATCCCCCACAGCGACCGGCGCTGCAGGGAGAGAGAGGAGAGAGGAGGGCGTCGGCGGTTTCCTGCGGGTGCGCTCCCGCCACTCCCTCACCCTCCCCCCCACAGCGACAGTCGCGTATGGGGCGAGAAAGGGCAACGGCAGGTGCTGCTGGCGGCTCACAGCAGCCACCCCGTCACACCACCTCCCCCACTGCCCGCCACACCTTCGACCTCCCCCCACAGCAGGAGCACGCACTACAGTAGCAAGTGCGACAGCTGCAGCGGGACCCGGGGGAGGGTGGGCGGGGATAGTTGCTCGAGCGCGACGAGCGGGACAGAGGGCCGAAACGGAGGCGAGACGAAGCGGCGACGAGGCAGCGTGGCCGCGTACAACGGGGCGACTAGGCAGCGCGACAAGCAGAGCTCCGCCTTCGCCTCCTCGATCGCGCACGCGATTATGACCGTCGCGGATTTCAACGCAACGGTCATACTGGCAGCACGATCGCAGCAGAAAATCGTTGGGAGGGAGGGCCGCCATGACAGGGTCAAAAATCGGTGGGCCCATTGATCGAAAACTAGCTCGATACCATCTCAAAAGAGTAGATTAATCTTAGGCGCCATGGCTAGGTTTTGAGGAAAACGAGAGTAGCGAGGGAGAAGTTGTACCAACAAAAAAGGAGTGATTCAATATTGAGCGAGGGTACAAATAGGAAAGAACAAACAAGAAAGGTGCACCACCAACTAAGAGAATGCTATAACTACAGTAACCAATCCTACAGGCAGTTACATATAGAAAATATTAACTTATATTTTCCGACAAACGAACCTTCGGGAACACACCCTTCCCGATACTACAATCACAAATGCGCATAAGCACGCAAGTCTATTGGCACTTGGGATTACGCCCAGATTACACCGTATACACCACTGTCGGCGCTGTCGGTGCCGTATAATAGGTATGTCGGTGGGAAAAGTAGGAAATAAGAGAAATAAATAGAAGGCCCTATAAAATAGAATAGTAGGCCGATTGAGATGAGATAAAGACCAAAATAAAGAGGAGAAAAGGGAGAATAGGATAACGGAAAAATAGAATAGTGAGAAAATATTATAACGGGGACGTCCTCTCACATATGTGGTGCGGGCTGAATCGGAGTGCCAGGTGCTTGGGATTGTGCCCGTGTGAGGTCGTTTTGCAGGGACGAGCGTTCTGCCGTCAGCGTCGCGATTTCCTTGACGCTCTCGCGAATTTGTCGAAGCAAATCGTTCAAGTGCTCCTGTGTGAGAGTCGTGACGTTGATATGTTCAGCCATTCCGAAGGGCGTCGGCTCGTCTTAGTTTAGGCGCAGTCGTGGCTGCATGCGTTTACGAGAGAACGCGAGGACAGCGGCTCCTAGGTGCTAAGGTACGTGGGTCCCTTCGAGTGAAAAATCAAAAGTTGATTTCCTGGGGTGCGGAGATGCGCGGTCCGAAAGAAAGGGGCTCTGAATACCAGGTGCAATGGATCGAAGTAGCGAGGATTGCACTAAGGTGTCAAACGAGTACAAAATGTGAGCGAACGAAGGCATGAGCAAACATTTATACGCGAAACATGCAAACGGTAACGCGGTGCGTGCGACGTAGCTAGTGCTACGCTGGAAGCGAGGCTCGGGCTAGTCCCGAAGCATAGGCTGACACGGCCAGGCCAGCAGTGCGAGGTTTGGTAAAACAGTGCGCGCGAAGTCGGCGAAGCCCCGTTAGCAGTAACGGGCGAACAACGGCTGTTGCTGTACGCGATGTAGTCGGGCTCCGTAAGGAATGCCGAGAAAATTCCTTACAGATCTCAAAAATCAGTCCAGCGGATCCGCGAATAAGCCTTGGCTTTTCGTTTCGTAAATGAGTTGGGCTATTATTGCACGACCACTCAAACACTTACGGAACTCTAGGAAGATTGAGCTGACGTTTTGTGAGCATATGTTTTGTCGAGGGACACCATGGCGGGAATCACTTGGCTCGAATCAAATGCCTTGGAATCTTGACCTGAAAAATAAAACGGTCACTGGTGCTCAGAAACGGCCAACAATTCAAATTTGATTGAACATTCCCGCCTGCATCATCAAGGTACAACTCATCGACTTTTGCTATTGGGCCTCATCTATTCTGAATTCAGGTGATCCCAACCGCCAAATCCCAAGGTCTCCCCGCCACGATGTCCCTCCCATCACGGAATGGAAAAAGCATCAGTTTCCCTCGCAACTACACCTGTGCCTTCTCTTGTGTCATATAGAAACCTCGACAGCGCACTGAAAGTGATTTAAACGCACTGAACCGATATTGCATCATCGTTTCCGTCATTCTTGTCACTCAAAGGAAGTACCGCGCTTCGGGAATAGAACTACGTGTGTGGCTCGAAATTCGAATCGAACGAACCTCAATGAGGAACGAAAACCGCGCAACGGCCAGGCGAAGCTCGAACCTCGGGGAACTCCCAAGGCAGGGAGCTCACTGGCTTGAATCTCCTTGCCACCCGTAGATGTCCTTTGTTTGAGAGTTTCTTGGTATTCTGTAGATGTGTCCAGGCGGCAGACGTTAGCAAGCAGTAGTTGCGACGTCTCTTCAATTGAACGGAATCCACAGCTGGAAGTCACGGCCATTGACACACTGGGTAGTTCCATTTTGAGATTCCTTGTCACAATAGTCGAGTTCTTCCCTTCGAGCAAAAAAAAAAGAAAACTTAAGTGCTGGGAGTATACCAGACCCAGCTCGAGATGCAACCGTGCGTTGCGCTCATATCCAGACAAATCCCATCCCATTCCACCTTAGAACACGCTCGTTGATTCTTAGTGACACCGTGCACAAGCGTCTTTGTGCGTAGCATTACAATCGAAGCACCATGTGGAGCCCAGTGGGCAATCTTAGCCCGCTAGGCGGTAGAAAAGAACCATCTAGCAGAAGGAAGGAAAACCGGACTCCGAAGTCCGGGAAGCGGCTCTTAGCGTGTTTCGGCGGGAGTCTGCCGGTAGAAAATGAAGCGATGGACTTTGGCGGCAGGAAAAGCAGCCCCATGGCTGGCGCTCTGCAGCCCAAGTCGACGAACCGGGTGAGTCTTTGTGACACCACTTCTTAAAAACCTGTTGATGATGAGTCGAACGCCCTGCAACCCGACTCGAAGAGATGTGAGAGCATTCGAATTCGAAAAAGCTTTAGAATCAGTGGAATTCACTTGATTGTTGTGGAAAGGATCTGCTATACGATGTGATTCAACGGTGTTTCTTTAGGATTTTCTTCTGTCAACTCCCTCACTATTTCCTTGTCCTCGATCCCCCTTTCCCCACGCTTCCGTTCTTCCTAGCTGGGTCTGTTCCCGCATGCCCTTTGGACGAGAACTAGGCTTCTCAATACGTACAGACTAGCTATTCCACTCTAGGACTCACCCATCCTTCTGTGCGTATTATTTTCTTCTGCTGTATTGTCTACGTTACGCGTGTTTCGTCTCCCGCGTTGCACAGGATGTTATTTCTCCGCGGTACAAGTCGCCAATCCGCGGTCGCTGGAACATCGTGAAAGGGGATCGCCATCGCGAACTCTTCGCGAACAACATTAACGACAGCGGGCAGGAGCGCAATAACAACGACTGCTGCCACCTCCCGTCGCCCGAACACTACTCGCCCCACCACCACTGCTGCGACCACAACGATACACGTCAGCGCCACCACCATCCACGTCATCTCAACTTCAACGACGAAGACGACGAAAACGCCGACCCGATCTGGGGCCTCGGCCCCATGGCCGCAATTCCCGCCGGATCTTCCGTCGCCTCTTGCTGCAGCACGAACGAGAAGGAAGCTCAGGCAGGTTCTTCTGGTGTCAAGAACGACCCGAAAGATGGTCCAGCGGCCGGCGGCGGCGGCGGGAGCAGCAGCGGATCGGTGGTGTGGGGCCACGTGGAGGAGCTGGCCAATGAGGTGGCAGAACTAAAGAGACGGCTGCAGGAGGAAGAGGAAGAAGGGCGGCGACTGCGCAACGAAGTGAAGCACCTCCGCAGCAGCAACCACGATTTGAAAATCATCCCGCCGCGCTCTCCCCGTGCGGCCGACCCGGTTGCGCCGGCGCTCCTCGCGCAGTCCATCCGCGCTTCGTTCATCGAGCCCGCCGCCGACAGTCCGTGCCCAGACGGCGGCAATGGCTGCGGCGGCGGCGGTGGCGGGGGCGGCGCGAACCTCAGAAGATCCGTCTCCCTCGGTCGTGCCGAGGGGGTGTCGGCCTACGCCCGTCACATGGCCGCCGCGTACGTAGCGAACAACGGCGAAGGCGAGGGTACCGGAGCGAAGGCGAGTGGTGGTGGTAACCCGGTGTGGGTGAGTGGCGAGCAGTGGGTGCACACTCTCTCCTCACCGCGTCACAGCATTAACGCCAGTGAATTCGGCGTGTTGCAACTAGGAGACGAAGAAGACGGATTAAGACGCTCCTCGGGCACTCCGCTCTCGCTCCTGCTCTCCCTCTCTCGCCCTCTCTCCGGACCTCTGCCGAACCACCTGCAGTTGGGTCGGGGATCGTCGGTTGCTCCTCGAAGCGCGAATGACGGCGCTCCGGGGAATTCGCCTGTCGGGCCTGGTGTCAGCCCGAATGCGAAGCTTCGGACTGGCAACATGATTGTAACGGGGCTGACTGTAACGGACGCGAACGGCGTCGCGAAAACGATTAAGATGGAACAGCTCGTGACTGCCGAACCTACGACGCCGAGCCGGCCTCCGGTCTACCAGGGTCGGCCGAGCCTGGATAAGAAACGGCCGCCGCCAATCAAGGGCATCCCGCTGCCCTGGGATTCGATGGACGGCGAGGAGTTGAAGAGCCAGAGCGGGCTGGGGACTTCGGGGACGGCGGAAGGCGGAGGCGGAGCTGAGATTGCGGGGGAGAAGAGTGTTGGCGGAAGGTCATGGGGAAGCGGAAGATCATGGGGAAGAGTGGGGAGCCTGAGCAGAGGCGGGAGCGTGGGCGGGAGTGGGGCCGTGAGCGGCCGCGAGGGGGAGGAGGTGGAAGGCGGGGTGGAAGAAGAGGAAAGGGAGAGGAACGGGGCTGAGTACGAGGAAGAAAGCATGGAAGCTAATGTGTCTGATGAGGACGAAGGAAGGAGAGAAGAGGAGAAGGACGAGACGAACGAGGGAGGTGAGGAGGGTCGTACGAGCCGCACGTCGGCGCGCAGTGGGGATGGGGAGATAGAGCAGCTGAAGGCGCTGGTGGAAGCGAGAGAGGCAGGCGCAAGGAAAGACACCACGACTGCACGTGGAAGTAACAACAGCTCTGGTACTGCGTCTGGTGCTAAGACTAAGACTGCTGTTGCTGCCGCTGCTGCGGCTGGTGGTGCTCTGCCCCGCGCCAGCAGCGCGGGCAGCGGCGGGAAGGCGGCAGGCGCGGCAAGGGGTCGCAGCGCAAGTCCCGTGTTGCGGCGGAGCAGCAGCAGCGGCGCAATGACCGGTTTTGGCTCTTCCTCCGCCACGAACCGTCTTGCCGCCTCTCCCCGCGCTGCTTCCCCGCGCGCTGCTTCCCCTCGCTCTGCTTCCCCCGGGGGAAACAGCAGCAGAGGTACCTTTCCGCGCACGGGCTCTTTCCGCGCGTCTTCTCCGCGGGTCGCTTCCCCGAGTGGCGGAAGCAGCGGGACGAGGGGACGACTTTCCAGGAGCGTATCTGATAGGCACAGGGCTGGTGTAGGCGGTACACTCGATACGCTTTATACACCTAGATCTCCCCGAACGGCCCGAGCGTCTTCGACTAGCCCTATGTCCCGGCGTCCGCTTGGTTTTCTTTCGGGCAGCCCGGGCAGCTCCGGAACTGCACTGAGAGGGCGGGCAGCTTCGAATAAATCCGCGGGGTCTGGTTTAGGGAGTCCAGAGGCGGCCGTTGCTGCCAATGAGGAAGTGACGCGTGGCAAGAAGCAAAACCATGAGGAAGAGGAGGAGGAGAAGCAGCAGCAGCAAGTCGAAGAGTGTGCGGAAGAGGGGGATTGCGCGCAGGGGGGCGATAAAACGGAGGTTCAGCCAGAGAAAGGGAAGGAAGCGGAGGAGTGGGAGCATACGGCGGCGAAGGAGGAAGAGGATGGGGAGGAGGAGAAGGGCGAGGAGGGAGAGGGGGAGGCTGAGGACGGGGAGGAGGGGGAGGGGGAGGGGGAGGGGGAGGGGGATGTGGACGACACGTTCACTGAGCTCCGAGACGACGACGGCCCCTCCGTGCCCCTCGCACGGCAGCGCAGCGACCGCAGCGCCGGCAGCAGAATCAGCAGCGGCGGCGGCGGAAGGCGGAGTGCCACAGGCGGGGACGGGGAAGCGGAGGAGGAGGATGAAGAGGGTAATTTACCCTTGACGCGCGCGGAGACGGTGGAGACGGGGGATAATATATTTGGCGATGATATCGACGAGGAGATTGAGATGGAGGGCGTGAAGGGGGGCGGCGGAGGGGGTGCGTTGCGCCGATCGGCGTCGTTCGGAAGCAGCTGCCGGGCGGCCGCGGGCGGAGGAAGCGGGGAAGAAGGCGGAGAAGAGGGGGCGGATGTGCGGGGATCGCGGGAGTCCCTGTGTCGCAGCGCTAGTCTGGGGGGAAGGCGGAACCCCAGCGCAACGCCTCTCGCCGCTGCGTTGGAGTCATCTCGCGGCCATGCGGCGGAAGGGGAGGGGAAAGGTGAGGGCCCGTCGCTTCAGCGGCAGAACGTGCTGCGGGGGAAGGGTGCGGAAGTGGTGGAGAGGGAGAGGCGCGGGGAAGAGGTGGAGAGGGAGAGGCGCGGGGAAGAGGTGGAGAGGGAGAGGCGCGGGGAAGGCATGCTTATGCCGCACGGGATGGAACAGCAACTCCAGCAGCAGCAGCAGCAGCAACTCCAGCAGCAGCAGCAGCAGCAGCAGCAGCAGCAGCAGGAATGGCAGGCGCAGCAGCAGCGTCAAATTGGGAATGGGCAAGAGAAAGTTGTGACTGACGCTGGCATGGTCAGCAACAGCAGCAGCAGGCTTCGCCGCTCCGTGTCTGCTGACGTGAGTGACGCAATGCTGGTGACTCTAGGCGGCGCCTGTGACTATAACGGAGGTGAAACGACTGAGAACAGCAGCAGCAGCCACAGGCGCTTCTACAGCCATGGTGAGTTTAACGAGGGCGGCCACAGTCAGAGTCACAATAAGCACAAGCATGAGCAGCACGGCAACCAACATCAACAGCTGCAGCAGCAGCACGAGCAGCAGCACCACCACAGCAAGCAGAGCATGTTCCAGAGGCTGTTTCAGAGGGCTAAAAAGAGCATTACCGGCAGCAGCGGTACCACGCGGAATCATCACCATCACCAGCAGCAACAAGAGCTTTCTCTGGGCGCGGGTGCAGGGAAAAAGGGCCCTGCACGGACCATGTCGGACGGTGCTGTTGGCATAGAGGGCTGGCACAAGCAAAGCGCAGAGCCTTGGGAGAATCTGAGTGAGGGTGTGGATGGTGGTGGCGGGGAAAGGGGAAGGGGAAGGGGGGAATGGAGTCATGATGGCTGCGGGGTAGAGAGCATGCAAGGAGGCGGGCATCGGAGAGAGGTTTCGTGTGATAGTAGCGGAGGTGGCGGTAAGAGGAAGGAGGTGAGGGAGGGGAGCGAGGATGGCAGTGGGAGAGAAAGAGGGGAAGTGTTTGCGCATGCCAATATTGGAAGTGCTGCTAGTGCTGCTAGTGCTGCCAGTGCTGCTGTAGCTTCGGCTTACGGTGGGCATGGTGGTGGGATTCTGGGAAAGACAGGAAGACCCAAGGAGGTAGGAGTTTCAGCATCAGCGTCAGCATCAGCAGGAGGCTCAGCTGCAGCGGCAGCAGCAGCAGCAGCAGCTGCGGTGGGCGCAGGGAACTCTTCACACTGGTGGAATGGCCGCAGCAGCCCTCCCCCTCTGCCCATCCCATCCTCCTTCGACCCTGCCACCCTCCTCAAACCCACCAGCCCCATCCTCCGACCCACCAACGGAACCACCTCCCCCATCGGACCCCACAGCAGAGCACCGTTCTCCACCCCTGTCAGCCCCTTGGCCAGCCCCAGAACCGCCCCGAAAGCCTTCAACAGCCCCCGAAGGACCGGAAGCAGCGGCAGCCCCAGCAGCAACTGCGGATCCCCAAACACCCCAAACACCCCAGGCACTCCCAACACACCCAACACCTGGCGTGGTGGCAGCAGCGGTGGCAACAACGGTGCACCCCCCTCCTCCTCCTCCCCCAGCAAGATTGATCCGATCATCCGTGCGCTCAATTACGCGGCGGTTACGGGCCGGTTACCACCGGGCATGGCTCTAGACGCCATCTCAGAGGAGCGATCTAGCGCCCTCCTCTCCTCCGCCATCCCCTCCCCCTGCGCGTCTGTCCACAACTCCCTCCACCTCCTGCCCTCGCTGCCCTCCCCAGGTGCTCCGCATCCCTCGCATCCCACGCGTTCCGCTGTGCATAATAACAACCCGCTGCAGCGCCCGCCCTCGCCCTCGTCCGCCCGTGGCTCCCTTCGTTCCGAAGCAGGCGGGTCCGGGAAAAACGGCCTGCAGATGTCCCCCCTGCAGATGTCCCAGTTGCAGATGTCGGGGGAAATGCTCCCCCCTCCGCATGTAGCCATGCCTGGCGCTGCTGCCGATGCTGCTTCTGCAGCCGCTGGTGCTGATGCCACTGCTGGTAGTGCTGGTGATGCTGGTGCAGGTAATGCTGTTGTTACTGCTCCTCACTCCTCCAATCCAACCACTCCTTGTCTCTCCCCAACCAGGGGAATCGGGTCCCGTGGCACACCCCTCTCCCCGCTCTCCCCGCTCTCCCCCACTCGCCCCTCCCCTTCCTCCCCTATGAGCCCCATCTCTCCCGCCGCCACCTCCCCCAAGCCAATCCCCATCCGCCACGTCATTCAACGGCAGCAGCAGCAGCAGCAGCTCAAATCCCCCCGGGCGCAACAGCAGCAGCTGAAATCCCCACGCTCACAACAGCAGCAGCAGCACAGGAAGCCGGGGCAGCAGCTGCAGGTGAAGGCAGGTCAGAAGGCAGGGCAGGGCAGGCCGAGTCAGGTGCTGGTGCAGCGGCCAGGCAGCCTCAAGAGCCCCGCTGCTGCTGCCAAAACCACAGCAGTGAAACAGCAGGGGCAGGCGGGAGGGCAGAAGTCACAGGGTCAAGGGGCGCTGAAGTCCCAGGAGGAGAAAGAGAAGGGGAAGGAGGAGGGCGAGAGGGAGAGGGAGGCAGGGGCGCAGGAGCGGCTGCAGGCGCACATGGAGGCGCAGATGAAGAAGAGTCCGCACTACCTGCAGCAGCAGTTCTACCAGCAGCTCAAGCAACACCAGCTGCAGCAGCAGGCGCTCCGGAGGCAGAAGCGCGCTGCTGCTGCTGCTGCTGCGGCGGCGGCCGGTGGTGGCGCCGCTGGAAAGGGCAATGCAGCAGCAGTGCCAGCAGTGCCAGCAACGCCGTCAGCAGCAGCAGCAGCAGCAGCAGGGCAGGCCGTGGTGGGGTCAGCAGGAGCACGAGGAGGAGGGTCTCGGCCCACCACACCCACACGCAGCAGTGCTGCTGGCTCTGGTGCTGGCTCTGGTGCTACTGCTGGCTCTGCGGCTGTTGGCCAGTCTTTCTTTGTCGGCCCAAGCAAAGGTGCAGATGGGAAGATAGCTCGCCAGAGCTTCCAGCAGCAGCAGCAGCATGTGCAGAACAGCGCCGGCATTGCTATAAATGGTAGTGTTGCCGGAAATAGTAATCAGCACAATGGTCCGGTCACCAGCACCACCAGTGGCTCCTCCTTGGCTGGTTCATCCAGTGCTGCAGGCTCGGCGTCCCGAGCAGGCTCGGTAGCCTCCAGAGGAGGTTCGGCAGGTGCTGGTGGTGGGCTGCATGGCATGAGCAGCAGCATGGGAGGAGGCATGGGGATGGCAGGAATGGGAATGGCGGGATTCAACGCGGTTGGCAGCGGTGGAATGCATGGCACCAATGGCAGCCACGTCAGCCATGGCAGCACGAACATGAATGCAGCGACTGCAGCGGCCATTGCAGCAGTGGCTGGGAGCATTGTGAGCGGCACGGGCAGCTCTCAGAGCCGCTCCTGCAGCCGCACGTCCAGCATGCGATCCGAGGTGCGTTGGTGATGCTTTTGTTCTGTGCGCGGGGGAGGAAAGGGGGAGCACAGGTGCTTTGCCAGTAGTATGAGGGTGGTTGTATTGTTGGAAAAAGGGGGAGGGAGATCGGGGTGTGGTGCAGGGTGTGAACAGCAGCTTTGGTTATGGCATGTGGAGCATGTATGTCGATTACACCGAGTTTTCTTGACGTTTGTTTGCTCATCGTGTGTGTGTGTTGCAGCAAGACGTGAACTTGTCCAAGCTGAGGAACGGGAGCATTTCCTCCAACGAGTCTTGCCTCTCCATGTAAGCCTGTTTTTGAGCTGAGTTGCAAATGCAAAGTGGAAGTGTTTATGCCACTCCAAGAGTCTGCATGCTTGCCACACTGAATCACCTGATACATTAATTTCAGAGTTAAGGCTGGCCTGAGCAACCATGTGCTTACGTGGATATGCATGTGTGTGTATGTGCTTGCAGGTCAACACGCCAGCCGCGGGGGCGACCAATGAATGCAGCAGCAGGCAACCAAGTCGGCCCTCCCCTCAGCCAGAGCATGGGCACCAACGTTTACAACCACCATCAGCAGCCAAGCACTGGCAACGTCGGCGCATATGCACATCAACCGGCGAACATGGGCAACAACACGGGCAGTCATTTCCAGCAGCAGCACCAGGCCAATCGTAGCCCGTTCTCCACTCCACCCGCAAGCCCTCCTTTGAGCCCGACTCGAGGGTTTGGGATGATTGGGTGGACAGCTCAGGATCTTAATAAGATGGGAAGGCATTAGGTAGGTTGATATTTGTTCTTGATGTACAACCAAACCACCCAACGAGGTAAGGCTTGACATGCTTTCTTATCCACTGATTGCTCATTGATTGACATAAGGGGCGAGTGATCAACCTGGGGTGAATAGAGCGATCTTTCATTGCAGCTCGAAGTGTATCGATACACGTAACAGAATCACGGTCAATTCACTCTACCGCGTATTGTGAACACCTGCGCTTCGTCTTGGTGCTTCCACTCTCCGTTACTGTGGATAACCTTTGCCTGTTGAATCTGCGCGAAACCACTGCCACATCACAGCAATCCCCCACCACGAAACCAGGGACAACATCGAGGTTGGCTGGCAATGGGCTCTGCGATGGTGTGAGGTAGCTGGAAACACCTATGCGAGCAGAACTCTGTGGCGCATGAAATTAGATCGATTGGCGATTCGCTGTCGAAATTATCCGATCCCTTCGCATAATGCTGCTGCACTTGGCCGTTCGCGAAGGGCGAGTGGTCAGGTGGGAGAGTGTGGTAACCACAGGGTCAAACTAGGCCGTCATTCAGCCGATCTTGATTGGTAGGCCTATGATAATTAGGTGGTGAAGGAAACACTTGTAAGTTGACTTATCATAGGATGCTCGAGCATTAGTAGGTAGTGGCAGTTCAATAATTGGCTGCCTACTGTTGATCGTGACTAATTCGAATTCGTCGTTCCCGGATGCTCTGAAGTCAATCGCGGTTGGACAAGTGGCAATTCGGCCGTGTCGCGATCGCACAGTCGATTTCACCAGCCAGGTCGATAGTATTGGATTTCAAGGTCTCGACACATAAAGCGTGTCGACCAATCATGCTTCTCCGTTAACTAACTCCTTCACTCCGTCCATCGCAATGGACGGCTTCGGTTGACTCCTCACAAATCCTCCGTCACAATGGACGGCCGGATTTAACCGCCTGCAAGATCCAACGGCAGCGATGGATGGCCGGCCGAGCGTCAAGCTCCATTATCATCATCATCAAAACCGCCAGTCCCCCCGCCACCAGTCCCCCCACGTAGACCATCCGCTCCATAGCCCCAGTAAGACCCGCCCCAGACGCCACCTCCCCCGGATGTGCCTCTTCCTCTCCTCCGCGCTCTCCTCGAGCCGCCTTCTTCTCTTCCTCGCGGTCGGCGTCGCGTGTGTGTTTTTGTATTCCGTGCTCGACATAAGATTAGATGGCGGCGCGACGGGGAATGGGGAAGGAGGTTCAGGTTTTGGTTCGGCAGCTGGAGAATTCTCCATTAGGTTCGGCAGCAGCCGCGGAAGCAGTGGAAGCGGGGGGGGATCCGCGGGGGAATCGGCGGGAAAGGCGTTTTGGGGGGATTCGAGTCGAGCCGCGGCGGCGATTGACGATCTGCTCGCTGCGGCAATGCGCAAATCACGCTGGCGGGATTTGGGAGAATCCGCGCAGCAGCTGCTGTGGTCTTCCCCCGATCAGGGGATTAGGGGAAGCCTGATCGGTGGCGGAAAGGGCGGAGGCGGAGCGGGGAGCGCGGGGAGCAGCAGCGGGGGAGAGAGCCTGGCGGAACGGCGGAGGCTGATGCGGTTGGGGTATGATGGGGGAGAAGGGGTGGTAGCGGGGGAGGATGGCGGAAAACTGGACCAATTAGGAGCCGCCAGCGCGAGAACCTTGCCCGCGTCTCTGATTGGCTCCTGGAACCAGGGCTTACAGGGGAATGCTGACGTGGACCGTGCTCTAAACGAGCGGCTGGCTCGCGATGTGACTATAGTGATCAGCTCAAAGCACTCTTTCGGAACAGCAGCCGCGCAGCTGGACGCGATTCTCGCGACCACTCCCCCCTGCCCAGTGATCTACATGATCCCCGGCGCAATGGACGCGCGCACGCGCGCGCACGTCAGGCGCAGGCAAGCGGAGAGCGCACGGGGGATGTGGGGTGGCTGGGGCGGCGGAGGGGGAGGCGCAAGCGCGGGGGGGGCAGCGGGCGGCGGATTAGGGTTTGCAGATCCTGAACTGGTTTGGGGGGATGGTGGCGGAGGGAATAGGCGGAGGCGGAAGGGCAGGGGGAAGGGGCGGGGGAAGGGGGAGGAAGTACAGGGAGGGCGGAGAATACTCGTTAAGGAGATGGAGGACGAATATGCGAGCGGATACCTAATGCGAAACGCATCATCAGAGTTAATCCGCACTAAGTACGCGCTCTTTGTGTTCTCTGACGTGTTCCCGTATCGACCCAACTGGCTGCAGCATCTGTTTAGATTCGCTGAGAAGCATCCTGAGGGGGTGATTTTCCTGCCGTTCATTTGGGAGTGGGGGGGGGATGCGGGGGGCGGGGGGGCGAAGCTCAGGGCAGGCGGGCTCAGCAGAGGGGCGGGCGTAGGGGGAGGGGTGGGGGGAAGGGGGAGAGGGGCGGTGACGTATGGTGGTGCGACGAACCTGGGTGGTAGGCCCGGTGCCAGTGCTGCTGCAGGTGCGGCCACTAGTGCTGGCGCTGCTGGTGTGACTGCTGGTGTTGCTAGTAGCAGTAGTGGTGGTGCGGGGGGTGGGAGCATGGGCAGCGGATCAGTGGCGAAGCAAGAGGGCCTTAAAGCCCATGCAGCATTCGCCTCAGATATGCTATTTGACGACTACAGTAACGACGGGAAGCTCTACCCACAACCAATAGAAGACGTCCACGTGGCAGGCACCAGAGATCCGAGCCTGCTGGACCCTCGGGAATCCCCGGTAGGCGTGGAGGATCACTGCATGTTGGTTCGGCAGTCGTTTCTTTCCGAAGCTGTTCTGTTCGACCCTAGGGTCGGGTATACCCGGCAGGATCTGGATTTGGCGCTTACAACAAGGTATTTTAACTACAAGTCTTACTTAGTGCCGCAGTCTATAGTGGTATACCACCACCCGTCTTCCAGCGTGGGAGCGCGGGATTTGATCTACTTTGCGCGGCAGAGCGGCGCTGACGTGTGTTCAGCCAATCAGGTGTTTCTGCGGCACAAGTGGGGGGTTATAACGGGGCAGCAGTGTAGAGGGTTCGTGGACGCCACTTTAAGGGGCCACGTGTGGACAACTGAGGGCCAGGAGGGGGATGGCGAAGGGTGGGAGGTGAACGGTGCAGGTGTTGCAGGCAATGCTGCTGCTGGTGGTGGGGAGGAGGGTAGTGCAGCGAAAGGGGGAGTCGAGGCAGGTGGAAAGGGTACTAGCCTTGACAGCAGCAGCAGCAGCAGCAGCAGCAGCAGCAGTAGTGCCACACCCCCCGCCCGTTTTCTCATTCCCAAGGGCCAATCAGAGCAGGCTCAGCTCGTCCTCGCCTTCTTCTCATTGGTCGGTTTCAACCGTTTCCAGATGCGCAACCTGCCAGCCTGGCAACCCCTGCCGCCCGCGCCGCCAGCTGTCTGCCACGTCAGAGACAGGACGTTGTGCCAGATCTCGATCCCCTGGATGGCTGTTGCCGCCCGGTTTATTCCATTTGTGGACCGACTTGCAACGCTGCCAGATGCTTTGGCAGAAAATGCCAAAGCTGCCGCCGCCGCTGCTGCCGCTGGTGCTGGTGGTGCTGCTGCTGCTGGTGCCGGTGGGAAGAGAGTAGTTCTCTCTGGCAGTAGGAATGGTAGTACTGGTGGTGCTGCCGAGGCTGAGGTTCGGGGAGAGCCAGAGCTGTGGTTCGGCCGAGCCGAGGAGTACCCGAGCCTGCGGGTGAATCGGGTGGAGGATCTGTGGCGGGCGGCGTCGCTACGGGACGGACAACTGTTCATGATTCGGCACGGAGTGGTCAAACACGGCGAGAAGCATCCAGGAAGGCGAGCCCCGGAATTGCCCTTTTTAATGAGGCTATACCATCCGTTTCTGCTGGTGGAATTGGAAATGCGGGTGTTTTCTGGGACAGGTGGGGAGAGTGGTGGGGGGAAAGGGGAGGAGGATAGCAGGTGGTGGATTGGGGGGAGTGAGGGAGAGGTGGAGGAGGGGACAGGGCTGAGAGGGGGCCGGGACAGGAGCAAGCGGACAGGAGGGGCGGGGAAAACGGTTCTGGAGTCGAGTCTGTTTGATGGGCTGTCAGTTGTTGTGGAGGAAAAATGCTTCTTCCCACCATTGCCCTCTTCTTCTTCCTCTTCTGCTTCCGCTTCGGCTTCTAACCTCTCTTCCTCCTCCACTTCCTCCTCCTCCTCCTCCTCCTCCTCCTCCTCCTCCTCCTCCTCCTCCTCCTCCTCCTCCTCCTCCTCCTCCTCCTCCTCCTCCTCCTCCTCCTCCTCCTCCTCCTCCTCCTCCTCGTCTTCTTCTACCAAAAAAGACACCACCGATGTAACCCAACCCCAAGGCACGCTACTAACGCCCTTCCCTCCCTCCTCCTCCCCCACCTCCACCACCGAACCTCCCTCCCGGCCCTGCGTCCGTTCGGCGCGGTACTTCCGAGCCTGGATGTACGTTCGGCACACCGATCCAGACCACACAGCTCTGCACATGTTTGATCGCTTCCGCCGCTCGCTCCGCCGCTCGCTCCCCTCCTCCCCCTCCGCGTGGATCAACACCACGCGCATGCACTGGCTTTCTCCAAGGTTACGGAACGTGGTAACGCGGTTACGCGTGGTGCGCTGTGTGCCGAGCATATCGGACGGGTGCGAGATGGGGTGGCGGGTCGGGGCCGTGCCGGACGCGTGGCGGCTGCTGCTGTGGGCGTGGCGGCCGCAGAGTGTGAGGACGGCTCAAGTCTTACTTATGAACGCCGATACTCCTGCTGTGGGTGAGTGATTGAGTGGGTGAGTGAGTGAGTGGGTGAGTGAGTGGGTGAGTGAGTGGGTGAGTGAGTGGGTGAGTGATTGAGTGAGCGAGTGGGTGAGTGAGTGAGTGGGTGAGTGAGTGGGTGGGTGAGTGGGTGAGTGAGTGGGTGAGTGATTGGGTGAGCGAGTGGGTGAGTGAGTGGGTGAGTGATTGGGTGAGCGAGTGGGTGAGTGAGTGGGTGGGTCTGGTGCTTGCCTGCTTCCTGCTAGACCCTGGGTTTGAATAGTGCGAGATGGGGTGGCGGGTCGGGGCCGTGCTTGACACGTGGCGGCTGCTGCTGTGGGCGTGGCGACCTCAGAGTGTGAGGACAGCGCAAGTGCTGCTCATGAATGCTGATACTCCCGCCGTGGGTGAGTGAGTGAGTGAGTGGGTGGGTCTGGTGCTCCTGATTGACCCTGGGTTTGAGTAGTGCGAGATGGGGTGGCGGGTGGTCGGGGCCGTGCCGGACGCGTGGTGGCTGCTGCTGTGGGCGTGGCGACCGCAAAGCGTGAGAACAGCTCAAGTGCTGCTCATGAACGCGGATACTCCTGCCGTGGGTGAGTGGGTGGGTGAGTGAGTGGGTGAGTGAGTGGGTGAGTGAGTGGGTGAGTGAGTGGGTGAGTGAGTGAGTGAGTGAGTGAGTGAGTGGGTGAGTGAGTGGGTGAGTGAGTGAGTGAGTGAGCGGGTGAGTTAGTGGGTGAGTGAGTGGGTGAGTGAGTGGGTGAGTGAGTGAGTGGGTGAGTGAGTGGGTGGGTGAGTGGGTGGGTGAGTGGGTGAGTGAGTGGGTGAGTGAGTGGGTGAGTGGGTGGGTGAGTGAGTGGATGAGTGAGTTGGTGAGTGAGAGTAAGTGAGTGAATGGGTGCTCTCACACCCATTCCTTGTCTCCTCATACACCCTCTTTCCTTCCTTTTGAGTTGACTCAAAAGTCACCTCGTCTCCTGTTCAAAAGTCTTTCTGCCCTTCCTCCCCTTCCTGCCCTTCCTGCCCTTCCTGCCCTTCCTTCCCTTCTTGCCCTTCTTTCCCTTCTTGCCCTTCCTTCCCTTCTTGCCCTTCGTTCCCTTCTTGCCCTTCTTTCCCTTCTTGCCCTTCTTGCCCTTCTTTCCCTTCCTGCCCTTCCTGCCCTTCGTTCCCTTCATGCCCTACCTTGCTTGGCCCTTCAGACGATTTCTCTGCTAAAGCCGCATGGACGTGAGTTGGACTCCACACCACAATTACCGTATAACTCCTGTTAGAACTTCATCAAATACAGATGTCGAGCACTTGACAGACATTTTACAGGTAATAGGGTGGCTTTTACCAGACCATCTGTACATCCTTTCAGTGTACCAGGATAATTTTAAGTGTAGTGCTCATTAATATGGTATTCTATTCCATAACTCCACATTCATCTTCAGGCATTATTCCTGCCTGTAGTCTCAGCGACGTTGACGTGCAAAGGTGAAACAATGGGCTATAAAGCAACAGCATTAAGAGATGTCAGCTGAAGTCTCATATTGCATGGAGTGCCATATGGCGAGCGCAATCATCCATGTAAGGAAAAAGAGGCCCACTATAACGAATCCAAGAATGTTGAGATCCATTCCTGCGATTGAGTCCTACGGTTGCCCCTCCCATCCTGCCTTTTCGATCACCAACTGCCACCATTGGTGGAGGGAGGGAGGGATGGCAGGTGACAAAAAGACAGGGGACTGAATGGGATGAGACGAGGAGTGGTGCGAGTAAAAAGTGCCGCCTCCCCTTCCCTTACATGCACATGATTAAGTCCCGTCGTTGCCCTTCCTATCCTGCCTTTTCAATCACCAGCTGCCACCTAGGATGAAAGGAGGGTGAGAGGAAGGAGGAAGGAGAGGAAATGGGGGTGGGGTGGAGCGGGGACGGGAGTGGGGATAGGAGCGAGGATGGGAGAAAGGATGGGAGAAAGGGATTGGGAAAGGACAGGGTGATGAGGAAAGGAGAGGAGCGAGGAGAGCAAGACATGGAGCAGCTAGAGATGACGAAGAGGAGAGACAGAAGAGGATGAAGGACAAAAGGAAGAGGCAAGGAGCAAGGAGGCGCAAGTGGGACCAATTGCCACCTCGTTACAATGGCACACAACACATTTTGAGTTGAGTCATTAGTCACCTCGTTACATTGGCACACGACACATTTTGAGTCGAGTCAAAAGTCACCTCGTTACAATGGCACACGGCATATTTCGAGTCAACACAAAAGAAAGAGGCAAGGAACAAGAAGGCGCAAGTGGGCCCAGTTGACATGGGAAGTAAAAGGGTGGGGTATGGTGAAAAATGAGTTTGGATGCGACAAATGGGACGAGGAATATGGGACGAGGAAAATGGGACGAGGAAAATGGGATGAAAAAATGGGACGAGGAAAACTAGATGACGATAATGGTATGAGATTTTGAGAATTCTAAAAAAACATGGGTAGCATGCACTGTCGAGGAGGGATGAGGATGACAAGGGACAGGTGGGCTGCGACCGTCACTATCGACCGTCAATAAGCTTCATGTTAGCAACCTGCTGTTTGAGGCTCAGAAAATAAAACATGGGTAGCATGCAGACAAAGTACCCCCCTCCTTGCCCCTAGCCAATACGCATGCAAGTGGTGCAAGAAGAGATTTATCCCCCATATAAGTATTGTCATATTGCAACGTGAGACGAGTTTTGAGGCGCCTCATAACCCTTCACACTCAAAGCAATCTCGAGCATAAGGAGGGATGAAGAGAAGGGGAGCTACGAGAATCCGTCTCATAGCTCGTCTTCACACTCAATGCAATCTCGTGCATAAGGCTGGCTTTTTGACTGAACCAGACGCTCTTGAGGAGGGATGAGGATGGCCTGTCCCCTTTATTAGCACCTCCACTAAGACGCATTGCTGGTGTGGTGTGTTCTAGCTGTATTGTCAGCTCAAGCTTACCTGCAGAAGCTCTATCCCCCCTATAAGCAGCGCCACCATAACGGACAAGCCGGTGATGACAATATTGAAGAAGAGCTTTCTCAGCGGGAAGGAGAAGGCCCAGCTGTAGGCAAAGTTCATGAACGATCCGTCTATGGTGTCTAATAGGGTCATGCCTGGAGGGGAGGGGGAGAGGTAATGCGTGGAAGGGGGGTAGTAGAGGTAATGCAGGGTTGAGAACATGCAGATTAAGGGAAGGAGAATATGTTTTCTGAGAATTCTCAAAAAACAAACGAGGTAATGCAGGGATAAGAACATGCAGATTAAGGGAAGGAGAAGGCCCAGCTATAGGCGAAGCTCATGAATGATCCGCCTATGGTGTCCAGTAGAGTCATGCCTGGGAGGGGGGGAGGAGGAGAGCAGGAGGGGAATAGGAGGATGGGGAGTGGTGGGGAGAGGTAATGCACGGTTCAGAACATGCCGGACCGAGAAGGCCCAGCTGTGGGCGAAGTTCGTGAATGAACGGTGGGAGGTGGGTAATGCAGAGGCGAATATTCGTAGGCAGCACCAGTTCTTGAAAATTCTCAAAAACCGGCAGCAAAGATGACGGGCAGGCAGAGAATGGCGAACCAAGGGAGGCCGGAGGAGGCAACGCCAGCAGCCATGAAGAGCAGAGCCACCTCCGTGGCTGTGGGATGAAGGCAGGGCAGTGGGATACAGGCAGGGCAGAGTGGGCGTACCAGCAGCAAAGATGACCGGAAGGCAGAGGATCGCAAACCAAGGGAGGCCAGAGGAAGCAGCGCCAGCAGCCATGAAGAGCAGAGCCACCTCCGTGGCCGTGTCAAAGCCGAGCCCAAAGAGGAACCCCAGCAGGTACATCTGGGGCGGGTGCTTTATCAGCGCTGCTACCCGTCCCAGGCAGCGGGTGAACAGCCCCCCTTGTAATGTCAGGTCCTCTAAGTCTGTTTCTCTGGCTGTGCCCTTGCGCATTGCACGGAACACCTGGAGGCGTGGAGAGCGGTGGAGCAGGGTGGAGAGTGGTGGAGAGGGGTGGAGTAGGGTGAAGAGGGGTTGAAGAAGTGCACTCCAACAGGGTGGTTTGCGACAAAAAGCGCCAGGAAGAGGGTTAAAAATAAGTTATGGTGAACTAATACTAGTTCTGAGACGTCTCAAAACTGGACATGTACCTTAACGAGGTGGATCAAAACGAGGAGATTGATGGCTCCTATAAGCAGAAGGAAGAGGCTCGAGACGAGCGCACCCACAAGGCCGAGAATCACATGCAGCTGTGACTCCTCCGATTCCACCTGGTGTGGGTGTAGATATGGTACACCCAATCACACTATACATGTACACACATACTGTACAAACGTACATATTCACACAAAAATTGCACATATACTTTTACAGAAATGAGGTCATATTGTTGGATTGAGATTCAGCTGGGTACCTCTCCCGCAGAAGCCCCACAGCAACGGCTAGCTCGGTTAGCCTGTTTTTGAGTCGACTCAAATCAAAAACAGCCCCACAGCAACGACGAGCTCGGTTAGCCTGTTTTTGAGTCGACTCAAATCAAAAACAGCCCCGCAGCAACGGCTAGCTCGGTTAGCCTGTTTTTGAGTCGACTCAAATCAAAAACAGCCCCGCAGCAACGGCTAGCTCGGTTAGCCTGTTTTTGAGTCGACTCAAATCAAAAACAGCCCCGCAGCAACGGCTAGCTCGGTTAGCCTGTTTTTGAGTCGACTCAAATCAAAAACAGCCCCGCAGCAACGGCTAGCTCGGTTAGCCTGTTTTTGAGTCGACTCAAATCAAAAACAGCCCCGCAGCAACGGCTAGCTCGGTTAGCCTGTTTTTGAGTCGACTCAAATCAAAAACAGCCCCGCAGCAACGGCTAGCTCGGTTAGCCTGTTTTTGAGTCGACTCAAATCAAAAACAGCCCCGCAGCAACGACTAGCTCGGTTAGCCTGTTTTTGAGTCGACTCAAATCAAAAACAGCCCCGCAGCAACGACTAGCTCGGTTAGCCTGTTTTTGAGTCGACTCAAATAAAAAACAGCCCCGCAGCAACGACTAGCTCGGTTAGCCTGTTTTTGAGTCGACTCAAATAAAAAACAGCCCCACAGCAACGACTAGCCAGTGAGGCAAGCCACATTTTGAGTCGACTCAAAAGGCAAGCCACATACATTTAATCACCTCTCCCGCAAAGGCCTTAAAGCCCACAGCAATAATGAGCGCAGCGAGGAAGACAACGGAGGAGTGGCCGAGGGCGAACCAGAACCCCGCCAGAAGGGCTTAAAGCCCGATCTTTACCTCTCCTGCAAAGGCCTTAAAGCCCACAGCGATGATGAGCGCAGCGAGGAAGACAACGGAGGAGTGGCCGAGGGCAAACCAGAACCCCACAGTGAGCGTCCTCCTCCCCTCCGCTAGGAACTTGCGCGTCGTGTTGTCAATCGCTGATTGGACGAGGCAGGGGACAGGCCGGGGGAGGGGGGGGGTGGCAAGGGGTGGAAAGGGGGAGAAAAGAGGGTTTAAAGAAGGGGAATGAGATGGAGTTTGAGGTGGAGTTGGGGAGGAGAAGGAGCGCGTAGGGTCCTTTCTCCCCGCTTGCCACCCCATTCGCCCTACAATTCACTGGTGGAGAGGAGGGCAACGGAGGAGTGGCCTAGGGGCTCATATGTCAAGTGGCCGAGGGCGGACCAGAACCCCACTGTGAGCGTCCTCCTCCCCTCCGCTAGGAACTTGCGCGTCGTGTTGTCAATCGCTGATTGGACGAGGCAGGGGAAGGAGGGAGGAGGGAAAGGGGGGGGATGCGGGTAGGGGGTGTGGGGTGAGGAAGGGGGTCGGGGAGGAGGGAGTAAGGCGAAGCCAGTGTCACAGTTCACCTCTCCCAACCCACTCACACCCCCCTACTCCCCCCACTCTCACAACCCCCCACATCCCTCTTCCCTCGTCCCTCTTTCCTCGTCCCTCTTCCGTCATCCCTCTTCCCCCGTCCCCCCCCTCGCCCCTTTCTCACTCTCCCACGTGTCCAATCCCAGAATTTCCCATCTCGGACAAGGGTTGCATTCGAATAAGATTGCTTCACATGCAGTGTGATGGGCGTCAAAAGCGGGCCGCATCCCCAGCATGTACGCCGTCACTCCCATACCCTTGGAGGCGGCTCAAAAGTTTCCCGCAATGAAGCTCATATGTACCTGCGATGTGGTCCGCGTCGAACGCGTGCCGCATCCCCAGCATGTACGCCGCCACTCCCAGACCCACGCCGAACGTGCCTCCCAAGTTACCTGCAAAGTCCTTCTTACGTACCTGCAATGTGATCCGCGTCGAACGCGTGCCGCATCCCCAGCATGTACGCCGCCACTCCCAGACCCACGCCGAACGTGCCTCCCAAGTTACCCGCAAAGTCCTTCTTACGTACCTGCAATGTGATCCGCGTCGAACGCGTGCCGCATCCCCAGCATGTACGCCGTCACTCCCAGACCCACGCCGAACGTGCCGCCCCCGCCTGCCAAGGCGTAATGCCCGGGAACCACGAACACGATCAGCGTGCCCCAGCCAATAACGTGCAGCGCGCAGATCGCGGCGGCGAGGCATCCGACGGTTATCCACTCGCGCGGGGTGAGCGCGCCGCGGACCTTGACCAGCCAGCTAGGCTTGGTAAGCAGCGGTGAGGAAGTGCCTGAGGAAGCTTTGGTAAATGGCGGTTCGGCATAAGAAGAAGCTTCTGGGTCGGGGGAAGCGGCGCGAAACGAGTCATACGCGGCGGTTGGAATGTCAACCAATAGATTGCACGAATTCGACGTGGGACTCGAGACAGACACCATTGAAGAAGTGTCGACCGATTGATTGAAGGAAGAGAGATTTTGTCGCACGTTGAGAGAACAGATGTCTGATCCTTCCTGGGAGCCTCCTATGGGCTGATTGGCCGGGAATTGCTGGGATTTCTGTGGCTGGGAATCTGAAAATGCACATGTAGAAACACCTGACGAAGCACCTGAAGTGCTGTGACCGTGGCCGCAATGTACACTTGGATCGCCAGTCTCCTCGAACATTGCAGCTGATGTGACAATAGGGGGAGCCACAGCACGAACTGAATCCTGTGGATCTATTATAGCCGTATTACGCCTTTCAATCAGTTCACGACGTAGTCCAAGAGAGTCGCGACGAGATTAAGGGCGCTTAACACTAAAATTTCGGGTTCGTTCCAACTCATTTGGAGCGAGATCCAACATCGCACGAGCTTCACTGCACATTACCTCATCTTCATTACTCGAAAGCTGAAGATCCGCGGAGCTTCCTGGCATGGCTTCCAAACATGGAGCACATTTCTCTAAGTGGATTACATTTCTACATGGGTTCTTATAACATGGTTCAGGACGGTCCAACACGGTGAAAAGCGTTTCTCGAAACTTACCGCTTTTCACCGTGTTGAAACGAAGTTAACCGTAGTGGGCGTACAAAAAGTTCTACAACCTGTCGTCGCCCTAAAGCATATGGCGGCGTGGTACTGCTTCTACATGATTCACGGAATCCTGTCGCTGCTGGTGAAAGTTTTGGCGACCTGCGACCATTTTTTCGCACCTGCTGCGGCATGGTTACTAGAAGAGGCGAGGAAAGAAATAAAAAATTTTAGAGGTTTCTGACGTGGCTTATGCCTTTCTGAGCCCTTCGCTATTGGTCAATTGGTTGCCACTAACCTCATGCCATGTCAGCAACGTCTGAAGCATCTTCACTGTTCAGCGGTATTTTCTATACGCGAAACAAAAGCAATAGAGTGGTTTCGTACAATACTACAGTTTCAGACCCCATAAGAGTGTCACCTGTGATCTGCAACATGTTAGTTTACGTACATTGACCATACACATCCTTGTTTCTTTTAATGAGATGTTTTTATTGAGTCAAGGTAATATTTTTAGAGTCTATCAGTTCCACCTGAACTGAATGTCAAACTAAGCAGTAGGTTGAAATGAATGCACAGATACTTCTAAATCGTACTTACCTAATATCTGAACTACCAAAGCACAGCACACCAGCTGCAAGCGTCCATCATGTATGTAGATAGGGAATCTTCTGAAATAGAAGGAAAGGGGAAGATTCTGAGGGCTTGTCTTCACAAGGTGATGCTACCGTCACTTGCTAACAAGGTCGTGTCTCTTGCAACTCAGCAGCTGTACACACTGTCGATTTGAAAAGCTCGTGAACGGATAACGCCGCATCTTCCCTTAGTTCCCAGCACACGAAACACTGTCAGACGAAGCGGTGCTCATTGGCGAGCCGGGTACCTGGTTACCGTCACGGTTCCCAATCGCGATCGATTCATCGTCCGAAAGGAGCGACTCGTCGTACACGCGGGCAGAAGCTGCAGGGTAAGCGAAGAGCTTACTACCTTTGACAGAATATCCCACAGATGCCGTCCGCGAATCCCAGCAACTCGTTGTCGCTCTCGCCGTCGACCTCCTTGTTCGCCGGCTCGACTGGCGGCGCTCAGTTCCTGGAGTCGACGCGACAGGATGCTGTGTCATCGTCCACGAAGAGCACTCGCTTCGCTCATCCCCGTCGTAGTCTTCGCCTTCGTCGTCGTACATCCCGCTGACGCCAACGGAGTGCAGAGTTACGGCGTCGCTGCTTCCGTCCCCGTGAGGCGCACTCGTTCTACCTCTCCGTCTGGAAAAGGGCATGGACGGCTTGGAATTCGTGGCACGATGCTTAGTACTATCAGCGTCTCTGGAGGAGGGACGCAGGCGGCGAGAAATCCAGGAGGCGATAGAAGAGAAGATGGAAGGTTCAGCGGGAAAATCCGTTGTCGGCGTGGGGTTTCCCAAAGCGTCAAGCTTCTTGCGGATGTTGGGGCCGTATCGATGTCGAACGCGTTTGGGTTGAGACGGGAGCGCCATGATGGCGGGCTGCTTATGTCCGTGGGGCGCAGCGGACATGCAGCTGATTTCGGACGAGGATTTTCGGATGCAGAGTGAGTGGACTTGTAGGGATGAGCGTCAAGCAGAAGAGCATTCTATGAGCCAGCGCATTGGAAATTGTTGTGGAAATTGAGCTGATTTCTGCTGCTGTGTAATCTTTGTTTGTCTCGTTCCGAGCTTTGGGAGACTAGGGGGATGGTGGTTGCATGGAGCGAATTCGGAATTTGGATTTCTGAAAAGCGATTCGGCTGGTGGAGCGACATGCCGACTGTGCAAAACCGTGCAGAGGCTCGAATTTGGCGCACGCGGGCCAGGTCATTGGCGACAGAGGAAACCCCACGAATTCGCATGGTGGTGGGTACAATATCACCGAAACCCCGTTCGCGGAACCGCGCGTTTCGAAAAGTTGTACCAGCCGTTACGAATGCTTTAGTAATTCAATATGGGAATGAGCAAACACGTTTCGTTATCCGGAGATTTAGAGCACAGATCTAATAACGAGAATTCCCAAGAAGGGGTGGGGGCGACACGGATTACTCCCTAGTCCTACGTACAGCACAGCATGGCTGGCGACGACTTGCGACGCTAGCTACATGATCACGCTGTGCTGGCAATCAAGAATTGGTTTAGCCACGATTTTCTGGACACGCTGTCACTGCTGGGCAGCTCAAACACCGTGGCGTTGAAGGACTTGACCGCCCGAAGCTTCCAACACTTCCACAACCACCAAATGCTGACGTACTCCTGATGCCTGTTTGAGCCCCTCCCGGTTGCCTTGTGAAGGGGGCATATAAGCTGTATCGTGCGTTTCGCATAAGTTCGTCAATTTCGCAGCAAGCTAAAAAGAATTCGCATGTGCTTATAAACAAGACCCTGCTACCTAGTTACCTAGTTTGACTTCAGTCTCTTCTGCTTGACTTCGGTCTCTTCTGCTTGACGCGCTTGTAATGTGGGTGCATGAAGCTGGGGAAACAACCTCGGGTGCAGCGTGTCCATCCGGCGCAAGGCAAATTCGCGCGCATGGGGTGAGCATCAGCTGTATTTCACTCTCCCAATTCCTTTTTTCTAGAGCTCGGGTAGCCACCCTTTTCTTCAAAACAAGTCCAGATACAGACCACGCGGTCCATAAAAAGCAACATAGCTGACTGGAACTTGTGGGTTTTGCCGAAGCAGAGATAGAGGTTTGAAAACAAACCTGGGAGGGTGTGGGGGCATGTCCTTTCAAGGAGGGAAGAGACAAAATATGCGATGTTTGTTCAGCAATACTGCAGCTGAATTGGTTTTGATTATTCCCTGCCCAAATTGTTCAACCTTTGTAGGGTTGACCTTTGGGTGGCGGGAGAAGAAGTTGACTTGTTGTGAGTTGGGCTGTTTGCTTTCGCCCAGTTTCGCGCTAGACCCTTGGGGTTTTCGTTGGCACGGCAAACCCCTGGGAGCAACCTGGGTTTGCAAAGTCGACTTCAACGCATTGCACTTCAAAATACACGAGGGTTTTCACTTGACAACGATTCCCAGTGATTGTTATTGCCCTTGGAAACCCAGGAATTTTCTGGACCAATCAGACTCTCCTGGCCAGCAAGCACATCGCCACCGATCAAAGCAATCCTGTCAGCTAATCCAAGCCGTACAAGCCACTATCCATCCCACACTTTAATACAGTTTACTGTATTCAGAAATAATCTCCACCGTTCGAGTGCCTACATCGACGGATACAGCTCTTTCAACCGCCCTTTGACTGCGTCGACAGGTGATACAGCTCCACATGATCTCCTGGCTCGAACTACGGCCCTGAAACATATCCACACCACACATCACGCCTTACCTCCACCCCCAAAACTAAGCAAGTCTGGTTCGGCAAGCTGCAGCCATGAAGAACTGCAGCCTCGTCGTCGAGCACCTGACGTGGAATATGGTCTGGGTGGATCAGGTTGGGGAAGACCGGGCTTGGTTGAGGGAGGCGAGATAAAATTGTACTGTAGGCTGGTTAGGGGAGTCTCGGACAGGTCAGTGGTTACTGGTCACCTCCAGCAAGCAAGAAAACTTTGCCGCGGGTGGGGCCACTCACCTCACCACCAGTTACCAGACCTGGACCTGGCGGTTAGGGAGCAAAGGGAACTCACCAAACCCTCACGAACGTCTTTGACCGCTCGCAGATCCCGAGACACTAGAAGAACGTCTTGACTCTCTCCTGCTCTGTCATTGTTTCTGCTTTCTTTCCCAATTCTCGCGTTTTGATGATTGATGTGTGAACGTGTGGTGCTCCTGTGTGTGGTGAGCTGTGGTTTCTGTAACCCTGGATGTGCGCTTCCGCTTGCAAGGGTCATGGCGCCCCGCATAGACGGCTAGTATTTTAGGAACTCGATTTCCGGATCTCCTTTTCTTTTCCACTTTTTTTGTCGTATGTCTCAGCTTAGGCTTGTTGTCTCGCGTTCGGTGGCGTTTCTCCCTTCCTCCCCGCACCTGCTCGTCATCCTGTCTCTTCCCGTACCTTTCCCCCCAGATTTTCCTTCCTTTTTGGCAACGTTTAGCTAATTTAACTTTTACTGTCAGTAAGAATTGGAAAAGGTTTGGGGAGCTGGATATTGCAGGAATTTGAATTGAGTGAGAGTTGGATCTGGACCAACCGCGTAATATCGTGCGAAGACCTGGACTCGCACAACTTGAAAACGCAAGATAGCGTTTAGCTACCCGGTAGAGTTATTTCGGAAATCAGCCGAGCCGCCTACACTGTAGATTAATGTCCGGCGAGTCGATCCACGCTCCAACCATGGAGACCCAATTAGAGTCGCTAAGTACGCTGTGTAAGAAGCTTCTAGACGCGACGACGCTGGCAAACTCGCAAACCAAGGTGCTGATGAAGCACGCTAATACGATGTATCTACGTGTTGAGATGGCGAAGCAATCCGCGGGACAAGCGGACCCGGACTTTGATGAGAGCCTTAGCGGGTGAGTAGCCTTCTCACTGTTAAGTTTCTGTCATAATAAGTTGAAGGCCGGCAATTTCCGGGACAAGCGGACCCGGACTTTGATGAGAGCCGCCGCCTGTGAGTGGCCAGCCTTTTTCGTTGTGAGGCTTTTGTCAGAATTAAGATAAGCAGTGGTTGTGTTTCCGGGTCAAGCAATTTCGGACTTCGATGAAAGCCTTAGACGGTGAGCTGAGGAGCACGTTCTTTGCTTTACTTGATGCAAACTTTTCAATACGCGGCTTTCCGAAGTCGAACTAATGTTCTTCGTCTTCGTCTTCGCCTTCGCCTTCGTCGTCGTCTTCGCCTTTGTCTTCGTCTTCGCAGTCGCCTTTGTCTCCCCCCTGGCCTTTGTCTTCCCCTTGGCCTTTGTCTTCACCGTCGCCGTCGCCTTCGCCGTTGTCTTCGTCTTCTTTGGCGAGGATGTTCGAGGCTTCGACAGCTCTGCTTACAATCTTCGCATAGTTGTCCGCTGTGGTTCGAATGTGTCTCTTCCTGGCACCTTTGACGGGCGTTCGACGCACAAAGCCTCTCAATGCCTTTCGCGTCGTCCCCTTGTCTTGTCGTTCACCTCCTTTATTTCCGTTGTTTTTTTTTCTCGTTATCCCTGCCCTTTCCCAGTGACGTGGCAGAAGCTCAAGATCTGGTCCAATCAGCGATGGAGGCCCTGGGAAGCTGCCAGGCTCTTCTCGGACCCCCGAACCCTGACGCGGAATCTCCTCCTGCTGACGTGGCATCGCCCCCACACTCGCGCTGCGCTGAGGAGCAACACGTGGACCAACAGGACAACTCGTACTCGCAGCATCCGCATCCTCATCAGAACAGCAGCAGCAGCATCACAATAATCCGCTTCAGAACCACAATCAGAGCCATCAGCAGCAGCAGCCAGCAGCAGAACGGGGATAGCACGGCGACAACGCGGCATCGTTCCCCCCCGACCATCCCAACGGTCAGACCGCCACTCATCCCTCCTCCCCGCGCGTTCCGCCGTCCCATCCGCTGCTGCCGCCAACGCTTCTCCCGCTGCTGCGGGCAACGGAACCGACGCATCCGCTCCGGCCAATCCCGGCACCGCTGCTGCTGCAGCCGCCGCGTCCGCCGCTTTTCGCGCGGCAGCAGCGGCAGCGGGAGCGTCGGGGCGACCCACTCCCGAGGAGCTGGGGATGCATTTGCGAATGCTTGGCGACATGAACCTTGGTTCGGATCGCAGCTGTGGGCGACGTCGTCGCGTCAGTGCTGCAGCAGCTGAACCACGGGATGAACAATCATCACGGGATGAATAATCACCCACGGCATGAATCACCCCGGAATGAGCCACCACGGAATGATGCCGTTTCCGCCCGGGATGTTCCCAATGCCGCCGCCCGGAGTCCTTCCCCCCGCACGGCGTCTTCCGCCCCCCGGGCTCCGCGCACCCGCCGCTTCCGCCGCTCGGATCCGCCCCCGGGCCTTCGGACGCGGACGGGATGAGCAGCTCCGGCGGAGGAGGTTCGGCGGCGCCCGGAGCCCCTGGTTCGGCGGCGGCAGGAGCGGGAGGCGCGGGGGGTTCCAGGTCCCCCTGTGCTTCCGCCGATGTGGATGTCTCCGCACGGGCTCGCGTTCTGGCCGCGCCCGGGGGGAAATAACGCCATGCATCATCCCCCCCCGATGGGGGGAAGCATGGGCGGGAGGGGTAGCACAGGGGGGATGGGGTCCCCCGCGCCCCCTCCGCCTGTGCCGTCCGCGGAAGGCAAGGAGGGAGGACGTGGCGGAGCGAGCGCATGGATGTCCGCGGGAGGGGGCGGAACGGCGGGAGGGGGCGCGGGGGCAGCATCAGGGCTTTGAGGCGCCGCAGAAATCGCATCTGGGGGTTGAAGGGGGGGCGCAGAAAACAGCTTCCGCCAACCGAGGGCGCGCAGAAGGTGCATGCGCCGCCGCAGCACGCGGGGCAGCACGGGCAGCACCCGGGCAGCACCCGGGGCAGCGGAAAGGGGGCGCGGGGAACCACCCGCACGCGGAAGGGCGGGGGTTCCAGGGATGGAGCGGGGGAGGAGGGGGAGGGGGCGCGGGGAAGGATGCGGGAAGGACGGGGGCAAGGGCACGGGTGAGGGGGGAGATAGTGAGGGTGTAAAAGCAGGCGGAAGCGGAGGCGCAGGAGTGGGAGTGGGGCGGGACAAAGCGGAGTGCTGCGGCTGCTGCTGTTGGCGCTGCTGGTGGCGGTGGGGGTGGTGGCGTGTGGTGGGGGTTGTGCAGAGGAGGACGGTGACGATTGGAGCAGTGCTGCATAAGAGGTGCGTGTTGCATGAGAGGTGTTTAATGCATAGGCGCCATAGGTGGTCTGCGTGATTGTGCTCTAAGATCTTTGAAAAACTCCCATGCACGTGTGACCTTCCTCCACCCTTCCCACCACACTTCCGTTACCGTCCTTTTCTAACCCTCTTTTCTCCCGCCCTCCCTTCCCTCTTGCCAGGCCGCGCATGCCGTCATCGAAGCCGTCAGCGCCGGAGATGCCGATGGACGGGTGGGAGTGGCGCAAGTACGGTCAGAAGGGTCACCCTCGGCCAGACCTACCCCAGGTACCTGCCTTGCCCTTTCTGCCCTTCTGCCCCGCTGCCCTGCCCTTCTGCCCCGCTGCCCTGCCCTGCTGCCCTGCCCTGCTGCCCTGCTGCTTGCCATATCCCCCCTTCTTCAAGTTTTGAGTCGACTTAGAACAAGTACGGCAGAAGGTGACTCTCGGCCAGGACCAGGACCTTCCCAGGTAGCTAGCTGCCTTGCCCTGCTGCCTACCATGCGCCGCCTTGCTGTGTGCTGCCTCCATTGCGCCCCATTACTGGCTGCCATCCTCCTCGCCCTAATACCCCTCTCCGGCCAAGAAGTGGGCGGAGAGGTGCAACGATAACCCCGTCAAGTGGCGCATCAAATACGTTGGCGAGCATAACCCACCCACTCTCTCTCACCCCCTCTTTCTCCCCTTTCCCCTTTCCCTTTTCCCGCTTCCCTTTTCCCCCCTCCCCACTCCCCCTCCTCCCTGCTTCCCCCGATCCTCCTCTCCCCCCACAGGAGCTACTTCCGCTGTGCACACAAGACCACGGGGGTCTCATCCCTGCCCCGCCAAGAAGTGGGCGGAGAGGTGCAACGACAACCCCTTCAACTGGCGCATCAAGTACGTGGGCGAGCACAACCACTCCAAGCCGCCCCCCCCC